AATATTGTCCTGAAACTTCAAAACAAATTTATACCGAGTACACTTGTGTTGATAGCAATAAGCCAACCATTATAACTGCAGGTAAAGTGGATATTCTGAAATAAATATAAATATTTAACTGTTGAAGCAGCCAGGGTGCATTCTAGACTATATAGTAAAAGCCTCTATACTGTATAACTTAATGAACTGCAACATACAGTGCGTCTTTGAACAGTTTTGTAGTTCGTAATCATAATCACAACTATATATGGAGAGTATATAGAATAGAAAATAATAGAAAGGACATTGAACCCTGAGTCTAGCTAACATCGTCCAACATTGTCAATCCAGCATTGTCGATTCATAAATATACTGGATAGTGTTGGTTGAAAATTTTTAGCATACAAACCATCACAAGAGGGTCCTGAGATGGAATCCAGATCCCATTTACCAGCTCGAACTTTCCCCACATTTCATTTCCCATGGATCATATCCCAGTCCCAACTGTGAAATTTAAAGAAAATTGCACAGGGGGTGGTAATTTTCAAAACACAACACTGTATTCAATTGCTCTCTTTAGAAATAGTTTTGCAATACATTTATGAACTGTTGTTGTAGGTCCAACATGTAGGTCCAACATTGTTGTGCAACATTGTTTGCGAATCCGTTTGATGAATATTTGGTAATGGGTATCAGATTTTCTTAGATGTTGAATCTGGTTTAGCTTCATTTAAAATTTCCATCGTCCAACATTTTTAGATATATTTGTTATTTTGGTAAATGTTGGCTGAAATGATTTGAGCGCACTAAATGCTCAAACAATGTCGAGACGTCGTGTTGTGAGTGCATTCCACTAGGTTTTGCGCTGATTTACTTTAAATGAGAGTATAGTGAGCGAAAACAATTTCTGCATGAGACCCAAAACATGCACTGTTCGATCAACATGTCGGACTGGTTTGAATGTGCCTTGTGTAAGACAATTCTAAATGCATCCATGCATATATAGTGGTAGACTAGTATTAAGGCCGGTTTCCATGGCAGTTGTTTTGCCCGCGCGGGCGGAGCCGGCTTTGAAAATCTGCTCACGCGGGCGTGATGGGCGCCAAAAACAATGAACGCTTTGCCCGCGCGGGCAAAGCGAACGTTAATGGGAAACGGCCTTTACAACAATAAGGAGTTTAAACCTGGAGGACGTCGAAGTTAGGACGACGGTCAAAGTCGCCAAACAAACCCACTGGAATATATGTTTGTAATATTTTGTGTGGAATATCTTGCATTTTACCAGCAACGGTTGTGCGAATTAGCCTTTCTCGCGTCACGCGATCAGGCCTTGTCCGCCATTTTTGGGTGGCAAACCGTACGGACACCGTGGACGCGGTAGTGAATCTATTGCTTATGTGTAGCTACTATTTCTTTCACTAAATATCTCCTTTGCTTGTTCTCACCATATATTGCTGCGTTGTTTTCCACCCAAAAATAGCGGACAAGGCGTGGTCGTATGCCACGAAAAAGAATAATTTAATAAGATTATGGAAATCAACATATGAAGGTTACATCCAAATATTATTTAATAAAAAGCAGTTATAAAGAACACTTTAATTTAAAGGACATTGGCACCCAAATTTTTTATTGCTTATATCTATTAGGTATACTTGCGGAATATTTAATTTAATATTTTGGCCGGTTTGTCGCGTTTAGTTGTTGAGAAAATTTGATAAAAAGTTCAAAAGTTCAGTGGGAGGGTAAACTCAATTTCATGACTATAAACACGTAGTGTCTATTGCTTATAAGTAGCTACTATTTCTTTCACTAAAAATCTCCTTCGCTTGTTCTCACCATATATATATTGCTGCGTTGTTTTCCATTCAAAAATAGCGGATAAGGCGTGGTCGCATGCCACGAAAAAGAATAATTTAACAGTCGGTTTCAAAGAATAAAGTCTCCTCTGTCATTTTAAATTTCTGTTTCAGAACCTAACATAAGATTATGGAAATCAACATATGAAGGTTACATCCAAATATATGATGGTTTAAGATGGATATACTTTCAGGTCAAAAATTGGGATAAAAATCGTCAGAAAATGTTGTGCCAGCACTTGGGATTTAACGAAACGGATTATTTTAGAACTGATTTGTTTCGGAGTGGACCTGACTTTGCAACTGGAGACTTGATATGTTATAACACACAAGCCAGTGGAACATCTTGTTGTGCCCATCTTGTTCCTTCTACAAACACTTCTTACCTGTCGTACGTCAAATGTGAGTAATGACATAAGTATATCGCCGGGTCACTAAATCAGCTCAAATTAACTACGGTTGATATCCAACTCACCTGCATATTATTATAATTTTTGTTATGTTTATGTAATAAGTGTAGGAAATTAGACGGTTTGAGAAGTATTAAATAAATGGAAAATAACACGTCACACTGATAAATTAGATTTATCGCTCGCGCTGAAAGCATACAAAACATTTGATATAATTATAATTTCGTACCTACTACTAATGCATGGTTTAAAATTTAGAGTTGAATCAATAGGCTGCTCGACTCTAGGTAGGTAGGACAATCTACCTGACTCCGATGCCGGTGAGGCGTTAATTTACTTTCTCTATTTGAACTGTAGGCAAGATATGCGATAATCCGTTACTCAATAACGAAAAAACTTTTCCAGACTCCGTATTTTCTGGCAGGGGTGGTGTTTGGTATAGTAGATACAAATATGCGAGGATTACTGAAGGCGGCTGGTGTGCTTCAGGTTCCGCACCTTATCTTTCACTTGATCTTCAAAAAGAATATTACATAACACGGGTTGTGGTTATGGGTAATAAATATCTGACACAATGGAGTGAGTCATATTCAATAAAATACAGTCACAATAAAACTTTGGTGGATACGAGCAGTGAAATACAGGTATATTTTGAGCAGTGAAATACAGGTTACATATTCAAAAAGAATATCACATACCACGGGTTGTGGGTGATCAAGATCAAACAAAGTGAGTCATATATATTCAATGAATTGCAGTCATGACCAAGTTGACTATCTTGAAAAGGGAGCAAGTTACCAACATTCTATAAAAGAAATTGTTAAGTCATTTTAAGTGATCTTTACAATGCAACGATAAACCTTTGGGGTGAAATGTCGTGTCACAGGCACTTTAAATCCTGTATTAAGCCCATTGCCCAGGGACTTTCATTGGAAGGGAAGCTTAGTGAAGAGGTAAAGAGTTAGTTGAGAAAGAGAGTTTATATAACTTGCATAAGATAGTCCAGCAACTAACATGAATTCCCTGCAGGTCATTGATAGATCTGTTAGAGATTCATGTGTATCATTCTTGTGAAGGGCGAGGTATACGATGGGGGGAGGGGGTTAATAAAAACAGGCTGCATAATTTTCTTTATCTAGATATGGAGTTTTAAAGAAAACGTTCACATGGGGCTGCATGAACTCGGAACCGTACTCCGGCAAATGCGCCCGGTTGTGCATCTTCACACTAACCTGAGTATCAGGCTCTATTTTACAAATAGAGCCTGACACAAAACTTAACCTGATCGCTTTCCGCCCACAGCAAAGTTTATATTTAGTATCCAATCAAAATGTCGCAGGAGAAATTTAAATTTCACACAACGACAACAACAATCTAAATATAGCATAGGCAGCCCACTAAACGGCTGAATTTAAATTAAAACTGCAATGAACTTATAAAATTAACAAAAATAATCACAAATTAGCGAAATATATTGCAAATGTAGCTTATATTAAATCGCCACCCGATTGCTCTCTCCTCCGCAGAGGTTTCAGTGACTACAATGAGCTTTACATCGCGCTTGCCGTATTTATCAACAAACTGACGTATAATTATAAAGTATACTTTATAACTATACGTCAGTCGATAGTGCAATCTGATGGCGATTTAATATAAGCTACATTTGCAATATATTTCGCTAATTTGCGATTATTTTCTAATTTTACTGCAGTTTTAATTTAAATTCAGCCGTTTAGTGGGCCGGCTATAATTGTAGTTGTGAATTGTGATCGTTATAAAAGATATCAACAACAATAGTATAATCTAATTAGCACCAGCCAATCAAATGACAGATTTAAAAATCGTTTGTCTAATCGGCCAATCAGCGCTCAGTCCAGATTCTGGACTGAACAACCAGGCAAAATGCCACTTTTGTGTCAGGCCGTACTTTTCTCCCCTTCGCCCACGATCAGGCGTGCCTGTGCCCTAAAAAGTACGGCCTGATACTCAGGTTATCTTCACACGGAACCAGATTAATTACAAGACGAAAAGTGTTCACGCGGAACCGGAAAAATTTACGTTTAAATTGGGTTCCGAACGTAAATTGGGTTCCCAACCTGGCATCCGGCCTGTGTGAAGGAGGGCTAAGAAAGGGGCTTCCATCTGTTTTGCCTTGACATTACCGACAGCATTTACAGTTATATTATTAATTAAAATGCATTTAAATTTTACTTGCCACCAACGCAAAGCAGACTCAGTACAACTCGGAGATTTAAAATTAATTATCTCTGAATTCTTACTATCTCTCAGATAACAGGAAACCAGAATGGTTACCAAGCGTCGACTACGCCGGTTGAGATTTACAATGTGAGGCATGTAAAGATACAGTCAACTGGAAACACGAACTTTTGCCTTAGAATAGAACTCTGTGGAAAAGGTTAGCTTATTTTCTATTATGGTCTAAATAATAATTTTACTGTGAATTGGTTGTCTGACGGAATGTATCTGACATTTTCTTTTGACCGACACGATTTTGTTAAAACAACCTAAACAATTATGCTTGTGATATACCGGGAAAGCTTGAAAAATATGCCTGGCCACGGTGGGAATCGAACCTAGGACCTTTGGAAGACTAGCCCAATGCTCTACCAACTGAGCTACGCGGTCAGGTCGGTTCGAGTGTGCGATATTTCGGAACAGAATCTAGTTCCTTCGATATCAATGCAAACTTGTATATTCTGTGTTGGTGTAATGTGCTCAGGCGAATATGATGCTTGTGATGTTACTCTGAGTGTATATCCACATCGGGAAAGCTTGAAAAAATGCCTGTCTACGGTGGGAATCGAACCTACGACCTTTGGAATACTAGCCCAATGCTCTGCCAAACTGACGTCAGAGTAACATCACAAGCATCATATTCACCTCATGAGTACATTACACCAGCACAGAAAAAGATCATGATTACACAAGATTGCATTAATATCGAAGGAACTAGATTCTGTTCCGAAATATCACATGCTCAAACCGACCGGACAGCGTAGCACAGTTGGTAGAGCATGGGGCTAGTATTCCAAAGGTCGTAGGTTCGATTCCCACCGTGGACAGGCATATTTTTCAAGCTTGTCCGGTGTGGATATACACTCAGAGTAACATCACAAGCATCATATTCACCTGAGTACATTACACCAACACAGAAAAAAATCAACCTAAACAATTGTTTAAATACTCAATTTATTTGTTGTTTTAATTAACCAATAAAATACTCGTCAAATAAGTATATACATATATATATATATATATATACATATATATATATATATATATATATATATATATATATATATATATATATATATATATATATATATATATACCAACAAATCCTATTCTAAAATTATATATATAGCTATTCTAAGAAACCCATCCACATAATTAATTAGGTTAAACGACGGGGATATCGATTCCGTCTCAACTTTTCCAGTTAATTTCTCGTCTTAAAGACAAAAATCTGTCTTCTAATATAAATTCAGCTATCAGATTGCCCTGCAGGTTTCAATTATAATGTGATAAATATTCGGCCTACATCCTTTGTTTTCTTAAAAATTGTTCAGGTTGTAAATTGGACTTATGCTTAACATATCAAACGTTTCCAAATTTTTGAACATCAGTGTCCTGCAAAACCAAGCTGGCTCAGTAGCATGCTTAATTTCTTACCAAACTTCGTGGTATTTCATATTTAGTTCAAACTCCAGCTCCTGTATACGATATTAACATTACACCATACGAACGTGCAGCACTTGTGACGTGGAGAATACGTACAGCGCCAGAAGACTCCAGTTATATAACAAAGATCATTATATATCTCAACCGTAGAAAATACGAGACTATATCTCGAGGAACTCAGATCGTTATTAAAAAACTTGTACCGAACACCAGGTATCAAGTTGAAATTGAGACTGAAGATGGTTCTTCGCAGAAAAGCGGAAAAGTTTCTAGAAATCTTAACACCAAGAAAGCAGGTAAACGTAGCAAGTTGGTTTGCTGAAACGTGCAAGTATCGTAAATTCGCCTCTGAAATAGTCAGCTCCCTCTCTTATGAGTCCCGACTTAATTCTATGATAATAATGATAATGTGTTTTTGATGCGCTTTTCTCTGATATACCACAAAATCATTTAAGAAATAAGAGAATTTTGTTTTGCTAATTTTACGTGGAACAAATGGAACATATTGTTGTATTCATCTTGTATACAACCACTTCAGATATTTACATGCATGCGTGTACAAGTAGCAGGCATATAAACATCAGCTCCGAGGCTGACTATGGTTGAGGTCTAAATTAGAAGCATATTTACTTTTGCAAAGCTTGCGAAACGTAAGCCTGCGGGATCATCAGGAGTGCTATGAGTGCTATAATTGTATAATTAACAATTAATCACCGAAGTGGAGGTGAACAGTATAGTTTTATTCAATACCTCAACACTTGACAAAACCGCTTCTTTTAGCACCCTCCCCCCCAGCTTCTTTAGCACCCCGCACCAAACAGCTTCTTTTAGCACTTCGAGTATCTACGCTATTTTTATCATAGTAGATATCTTATTCTTCCCTGATAATGGTTTAAGCTTACAGTTAAACAATGTAACACAGTATACCTAAACATGTAGAACGGTAAATGGCTCTAGTTGGGATCCTCTTTCGTTATAAATTACCCCATTTTCTTTTCTTTTCACTGAAGGCGAAATATGTGATAAACCTTTACTCAAAGACATACATCGCACTTTTCCAAACAAAGTATTTTCTGGCAGTGGTGGTTCCAATGATTATCAAAATGCGAGGTTTACTGGTCGTGGCTGGTGCCCTTCGCGCTCTGGCTCGTATCTTTCACTCGATCTTCAAAAAGAATATCACATAACACGGGTTGCGGTTATGGGTGATAGAGATCAGACTAAATGGAGTGAGTCATATTCAATGAAATACAGCCATGACAAAACTTTGGTGGATAAAAGTAGTGCAATACAGGTATATTTTCTACGAAAATAACAAAAATGTATTTATGGTTGTAATAAAATACTGTCCTGAAAAGAATGTAGGTATAAATCTATAGCAATTAACGTAACTCTTAACCTCAATCTAGCCCCTAAAACGTTTACTTCAGGCTTATTGATTTAGTCCAAAACATGTTTAAGATGGCCTAGCAAAAGCTAACTATGAATTTCCAGATTAGTTAGCATATTTAGTAAACGGCTACATGTGTTTCTTTCTTGTGAGGGGAGAGGAGAGGGGAGAGGTTAATAGCCTAAAACTGGATAAATTTCTCCATCACAACCGGAAATTGCAAAGAAAAATGACCATGTCGCTGATTTTCATTCCAAAAGTAGTCATTTATAAGAATACTTCTGCGCTTTTTGGTTTGCTTTCGACTTACTTATGGCGAAAAAAGCTGAAATTTTAAGTTTAGATGGCTATGAAATGTGCTTAAGTCTTACTATCTTTCAGATAACAGGAAACCAGAATGGCCACGAAGCATCGACTACGGTCGTGGGTATTTATAATGTTAGATATATAAAGATACAATCAACTGGAAACACAGACTTTTGTCTCAGAATAGAACTCTGTGGAGAAGGTACGTTAGCTTTTTTCTATTACTGGTTAAACAGGATTTTCGCTATATGCATGCGTTATTACTGATTAGATTGGAAAATTAGCCATCAGAAATTACTAGACGTAAGCAAACTTTTACTTTGCTCTTTCTCTTAACCATTTTTGACAAAGTTGGCGTGGCTAAAACTGTTAACTTATCCAACTTATGGAGATTAGGTTTAAAGCATTTCGACACTTTAAATTTAGAAATAATATTTAATGGAGAAAATGATACTGATCATTAAGACTGATCATTTGGTGTCCCTACCATCAAGATTTCGTTTCATGTAAAAATTATTTGTATCAATGAGACAGAAACTTGACAAATAAAGGGAATTTAGCCAAATTCCCTTTATTTGCTGTTTTTTACCGTTTTTGTCCCAAAGCAGGTAATTTGATGTATTCAAATAACCTTTTAACTTTCCCTAATGTGCTGTAAGTTTCATAAGTGTAAAAAACTTGTGACTGTTGCGCGGGGGCCGGGGAAAACGTTCCCATGGGGCCTTATGACATCATAATTGTAAAACGGGAGTGGTTTTATATTCTCAGTTACAGCCGTTGATTTCACGAAACTTTGGCCACGCCAATTGCGAGGTTGGTTGGGAATTTGGGAACTATATACACGAGATCATCAAGTTGATTGGAAACCGGCCAATCAAATTTGGAATTTTCGCATCAAATTATCGAAATTCGTTATGAAATTCCGAACCAAGTTCGCAAGCAAGTTCGCAAATTGCAAACGATTTTGGCGGTAAATTTTAAAAACTAAACTTATTTTATTAAACTTATTCATTTAATAATAAATAATATCATAACAATAATAATTTCAGGTTTAAAATTATAATAGTTTAATAAAGTAAGTTTACTTCCAAAATCGTTTGCAATTTGCGAACTTGCTTGCGAATTTGGTTCGGAATTTCGTAACGAATTTCGATAATTTGATGCGAAACTTCCGAATTTGATTGGCCGGTTTCCAATCAACTTGATGATCTCGTGTTTATAGTTCCCAAATTCCCAACCAACCTTGCAACTGGCGCGGCCGAAGTTTCGTGAAATCAACTGTAAGAAATCTAAATCTAAGAGCCTTCGTTGCTTTGGCGGCCCTTTTGATCAAGGAGTTTGGCAACCTCGTACCCAGGGCTAGTCGCGAATTGAAGGCGGCTATTCGCGACTAGCCCTGGGTACGAGGTTGGGAGTTTGGGCCCCTTTGCCCCTCTCTACATCAGGAATATTTGGCGACTTGAGCAACTCAAAGCGAATTTTAGTCCCGTAGACGTAGTAAATGTAAGTCTTTACACCAGGATAAATTTCTTGCTAACGTTTGCGTTGTTTTCAATCTTAGTTCAAAAACCTGCTTCTGTATACGATATTAAAATTACACCGTCAAACACCTCGGCACAAGTGACAATGGGAAATCCAGCGCCTGATACGTCCAGTTACATAATACGTTACCATATTGAACTCAACGGAAGCTATCTAAAGAGAATACTTCGACAGGAACCTAGAACTGAATTCAGTATTACTGGACTGACTCCCTTCACTAACTATACTGTTAGAATTTCGGCTAGAGATGGCTCTTCACAATGGAGTAGCAGCACAGATATAATATTTATGACCAATACATCAGGTGAAGAAAGAAGATGTTTCTTTGAATATATCTTAACTATATGTGTATAGCAATGCGCACAAATGTTTTTTTCAACTATGTTTCCGCATCTCCTTGAAAGAAAAAAATATTTCGAAGAAAAAGGGACCTAAAACCTTGTAGGTGGATCTGGGGTCCATCCCCAGAAAACGTTTATATTTCTTAGCCTCTGGAGCTTGATTTTTGTTTTTTTAGACACAATTTTTTATATATTTTATCCGCTAGATAAAGGTTTAGTTATGGGAATATGAAAACACCGATCCTACTTACCCGAGTTATTCTTCCCTTCCTTGCTGATATTTTACATTCGCTGATGGAGGGGGTAACATAGGACACTGAAGGTGCCTACTTTGAGCCTTATTATAAATATTATCATCCTGAATTCAAGCACTAATAATTTCATCCTTGCAACCCTATCCTGAACTTTTCCCCAACCGCTTACCTAACTCAAACCCCAATCCCATTCTGCTTAATAGTACACCTTGATTTACCCGGGCTCCTATAATCCTTGCCGTAATCCGCAACATATAGGTATATGTAAAGATCTCCCGAACGTGACTCGCAATACACGCTTTCGGAAAGTACTTAACCATGGCTATAGAGCCTCGTTTTTTTGTGATTAAGACATGCATGACATATGCGAAACCAAGGCTATATAGCCAAAGTGACGAACGTATTACGTACTACATATTGACAGTAATGAGTGACATCGTCTTTTTCTCTTTTTTTCAGTACCTAGTGGGGCTCCAGGATTGGTGACTTTCACAAACCGCAGTAAAGAACAACTGACAGTATCCTGGAGTGCTCCATCTAAACATTTGCGGAATGGTAAACTGACAGGATATAGAGTTTGTTATTCTGACAAAGCAAATTCAAGTAATCCGAGTTGCTCTCAAAAAAATGCTTTGTCAAATACCACTGTGATACAAAAACTTCTACCTGCTACAAAATATTTTGTGACTGTCGCGGCAGCTACGAGTGCTGGTTATGGGCCCAAGAGTATGGAAATCAGTAAAATTACAAATGGAGGTAAACACAGATCAGATTCAATTTGTTGAAGCAATCATGCAGCAACCTCAAGATGACTGGAAATTGTCTATACTCAACTACCAAGTATTCCATGAATTTTATTCGTGTACCAATTACACTATATATTTATTATTTAAATAATAATTAACAAAGTTAAAAATCGGTCCAATTCTCTATGATTCTTCTTCACGAAGTTGTCTAAATAAGCTTTTAAATAAATTAATTGGTATTTACCCTTGTAGGCTTGTATAGGTCACATTTTCAACAACCGGTCGTTAACTTGGTAATAAACTTTGGAAGAAGCAATCCAAGAACGCGCATATAATATAAACTACTCGTGATTTTTTAGAGCGTGTGCAGGATCCTGTTGCGACGTCTTATTCAAGCCTAAGCCTAACTATAATGAAACCTGCTACGTATATCAAGTAAGTATCTGATATGATCATTATTAACTCATCAAGAGACAGGAAAAGAAACATGTTCACAAAGGACAAAATTAAACTACGAAACTAAACTGCACAATATTAATTATGAATGGTGATGATTAATCCAGATCAGCTTCTGCAGTCCAATGTATTAATTAGCATCAATCAATCAAATTAATGACGCCAAACACATCGCAGTGACATATTAAACGAGTATAATTGACACATAATGACTGCCTCGTCCCCAGTCGCTTTCAAAGGGGGAGAGGAAAACCAGAAAAAATTCATATCCCATCATTCGTTGCCCGGCAATGATATCACAGTCACTGATCTATATAGATTGCAATTGCACTGCACTGTGCCCAACGAAGGGCCTGCGGAGGAGGCAGACATAATGAAACAAAATATCACATTAGCAAAAAATATACTAAACATACAAGCATACGACAAATTTAGAAAGGAACAAAGTTAAAAACAAAACAGTGAATGACTGGATGGCATCAAGAATTGATGGGATTTTCGAAATGATAAAAATGCAACATTCTGGCCACGTGTGATGAAAGGGCCAATGTATTGACTTAACCAGGTATGGCACACTGCTTTTCTGCATGACATGTTTTGCATTTAGAGAAGTGATGATTGTCGTAGATCTTGCTCCGAAAAATCGTGGAGTGGAAAAAATTGGAAAAAGCGATCTCAAACCTTACCATACAAACACAAAAGATCCTTATGTCACTGCATATTTGAAAGCTGAAGTTCTCCCTCTGACATTCGTGATTGGTGATGGCAAGGAATATAACTCTGCAAAAGAAAACTACTTCAACCAGCCTCTTATACAAAATTCAAGTTATATCGCGTTCCTACGATTTTTTGAAAGTGAGGTAAATTCTGTAAAAACAGAACTTGTGCCTTCATATTTTTGAAGAAAACTTGGTTAATGAATATTTTGTTTTCTAAAGGATTCGTATTACTCGACAGCGTGGAGCAACGTTGTTATAACGTTGATAAAACCTCGAGGTAAATTTTCTCCAAGCATTACAAATTAAATAAGAATTTTTATAATCCAGGTAAGCCCTTGTTATGCTTATCTAGTTGATAGAAAAATAATTACAAAAATGTATTCTTAAATTAGGGGGACAAAGTTATACATTGAGGGGCTGAGCAAAACTAAGCTGCGCAATTGTCTCATCCGAACAGCACAACTAATTAGTGAGTGCAACAACATAGGTACAAAAAAATCTCCCAAACGCGTGACTCCCAATAGACGCGCTTCCGGAAAAAAAGTCACCTTGGCTATATATCTTGGCATCGTCTTTTCGTGATTAAGACGATGGGCTTTAAACAATGTCATGCCATCGGCTTTAAACAATGTCACTATACGAAAACGAGGCTCTATAGCCAATGACGTATGTTGTCGAAAGGTGTATTGCCAGCAATGAGTGCATGCCATCATGATTTTTCTTCTCTTTATTCAGTACCTGGCGGACCTCCATGGAATGTAACTATCACAAAGCGCAGTAAAAACGAACTGACAGTATCATGGAGAGCTCCTGATCAAAGTTTACAGACTGATGAACTGACAGGATATAAAGTTTGCTATTCCGACAAAGCAAGATCAAGTAATTCAAATTGCTCTGTTTGCTATTCAGACAAAGTAAGATCAAGGAATCCGAGTTGCTTTCAAGAAAATGATCAGTCATATACCACTGTGATAAAAAAACTTCGACCTGCTGCAAAGTACTTTGTGACTGTCACGGCTGGTGCGAGTGGTGGTTATGGGCCCAAGAGTGCGGAAATTAGTAAAATAACAAATGGAGGTAAAACAATAATCAGATTAAATTTGTTGAAGCAAATTTGTT